AGCGCCCAGTGGGCAGCGCGGAGCAGGAACAGGTGGCTGCGGATTGGAAGATCGAGACCAACCCCCCCCCCCCCCCCTCCCGCCCCCTCTGAGCTTCCGGCTTTACTTTCTCTTGCGGCGTTTTCGTCTCCTCCGCTTGTAGCTCCTCCGGCTTTTTCTGATTCTGACAGAATTCACGGTCCTGTTTTGGCTCCGTCTTGGGAAGCTTCTCTCCTCTTTTGCGTCCTGTCTCTAGTTCTTACTCTGTCTTTCCTTTGCTCTGTTCTCTGCCTCTCCTCTGCTTCTTTCTCTAGGCGGTTTGATCTTTCCTGTTTTAGCTCCTATGAAGTTTCTGCCTCCTGAGCTGCTGTTTCTTACGTGAGGCGTCACTCAGGTGTTTGGAGTCACAAGTGACTTTATGTCGCAGGCAGCGGCCTTGCGGACCCGGCCTTTCTACGGGAGCTTCAGGCGGCGCGGCGTTCAGGGCTCCGACGCCGCTCAGGTGCGCACTCGCGGCATGCGACGTTCGCCTGGAAGTTCAAGTGCCCCAGAAACTGCAGGTGTGTAAGTTCGGGCCTGGCACCTCCGCCCCTTGGGGGTCCAGCATGGGGCGCCCGCGTTCCATATCTCCTCGCACTTGTCTCCGACACCTTGACCACGACCTCCTCGCTGGGCCGACTCTTCAGGGCGAGCTATTTGCAGGGCAGCCCCTTCCGGTGACTCGCGCCTGGCATCTCATTACCCTCCTTTTTGTCACGGAAGAAAGAGTCCCAGTCCGGGTGCGTAGGGAAATTGATCTTGAACTTGGTGGCATGCACCTTGAGGACTTCGGGGAAGTGGAGGAGCTTAAAGACCTTGTGGTGGAGGCAGGCCAGTTAAAACTTGACCGGATTCTCTGGCGCCTGGGTGGCTCAGTTCAGCATCTGACTTCTGCCCAGGTCGTGATCTCCTGGAGTGTGGGTGCAGCTCCACGTGGGGCTCTGCACTGGCCGCTCAGAGCCTGAACCAGCTTTGCATTCTGGGTTTCTCTCTCTGCCCCTCCCCCGCTAACACTCTCTTTCTCTCTCTCTCAAAAAAAAAAAAAAAAAGTGGGGAAAAAAAAAAAAAAGCTTGATCGGATTCTTGTCCACCTTGCTGTCCAAGGGGGTGAAGTCATGGTGCCCTAGGAAGTCCACAGGGTGGAGAGTTGGTGACCATTTACCATGGCCTTAGCCTTCCCAGCACCTCCTGGCTGGAGATGGCCCTCCCTGGTGCCTCAGCTGTGGAGGGCCATGCTGATGGTCACCTTCATGATGGCCTTGAGACAGAGGCCTACAGAGGACAGAGCACCCCTGTCCCAGATGTGTTGTGGACTGTGGTAGCTGCTGCCTTTGCCCGGCTGGCATGGTCGCGCCTCCCGGCACCACCACCTTTGTTAGAGGTGCCTTCAGCGCCACCGGCCACCACCACTGCCTGCCACTGTGGCTGTGCTCAGAGCCAGAGATACAAAGGCGAGTGAGACCTATTAATTTGTGCCTTTGAGGCCCTCAGTTGAGACACAAATGGAGAGAGAGAGAGACCAAGAATACATAAACAATATAAAATATGCCCTCTGAGCTGCCTTGTTCACAGTTGTGTGGACACTGTCTGGACCAAACTGCAGGAGAAACATTTGTTGAATAAATAAGTAGATGAATGAATGCAGAGAATGAAAGTTACACAGAATGGAGGGATTCAGGAAGGCTTGGTAGAGGAAATACTGACTGTGATGGATTAGAAAGAGGTAGCAAGGTAAAGCAGGCTAGAGAAGGTATGCCAGAAGAGGAAAGGCCAGGTTGGCTCAGGTTTCCAGTAACTGGTTGTGTCTGGATTTAGAGCCTGGTGGATGAGGTAGTGAGGGATTGAGTCCCAGGGTGAACACCTCACATGCAGTTACTAGGTACAATTCTGTTCCAAAATCAGTGGAGTCATTTTTTTTAGTCTTTTTTTTTTTCCTTAGAGAGAGAGCCAATGAGAGAGAGGGGCAGAGGGGGAGAGAGAGAGTCTTTTTAAAAAAATGCTTATGGGAGAGAGAGAGCAGGGGAGGGGTGGAAAAGGAGAGAGAGAATACCAAGCAGACTCTTTGCTGTCAGTGCAGAGCCCGATGTGGGGCTAGAACTCATGAACTGTGAGATTATGACCTGGGCTGAAATCAAGAGTTGGATGCTTAACCAACTGAGTCACCCAGGCTCCCCAAAGAGAGAGAATCTTAAGCAGGCTCCATGCTCAGCCTAGAGCCAGATTCAGGGCTTGATCTCACAATCCTGGGATCATGACCTGAGCTGAAATCAAGAGTTAGACACTTAACTGACTGAGCCTCCCAGGCCCCCCAGATAATATGAATTTTATAGAAAAGTTTTGACACTGTTTTAAAATCAGTATGTTGAGGATATTAAAAAATAAATAAAGACATCATATCCATAAAGAAATAATGAGAGCATTCACTTTTGAATGTCCCCTCTCTGTAAAGAGAGCTTTCCTATTATTCTTCCTTTCTAATCTTATACTCTAGTAAACTTTTGCCTGCTGCTCAAAAAAATAAAAAAAGGAAACATGAAACACAAATAGTAAGATATGAAACAAAAGAGATGGATATAAAGAAGAAATAATTTATGGGGCGCCTGAGTGGCTCAGTCAGTTAAGCGTCCGACTTCGGTCATGATCCCACAGTTAGTGGGTTCATAGCCCCACATCGGGCTCTGTGCTGATAGCTCAGAGCCTGGAGCCTGTTTCAGATTCTGTGTCTCCCTTTCTCTCTGTCCCCCCCCCCCCCCGCTCACGCTGTCTCTCTCTCTCTGTCTCTCAGAAATAAATAAAACATTTAAAAATTTTTAAAAAGAATAAATGATTAAAAAATTTAAAAGTAAGTCATTTAAATTAAAAAAGAACTAAAATAATAGATGGGCTGAACTTTAGACTAAACAGAGAACAAATTAGAGAAATGGAATAAAATTCTGAAGAATTAACCTAGTTTAAAGCATAGAGAGTCAAAGAAATAAAAATATAACACAGCAGGTAGGAGGCCTAGAGATCAGGAAACCCTGAGTAACATTTAATAAGAAATTCCAGAAAAAGAGATTCAAGGAAAAGGTGGAGAAGCAACGTTTGAAGATCTAATAATGGAATATTTTCCAATTTGCAGAAAGACTTTAGGATTTGTTTTCTGTTATTCATTCATTCAGCAAACACTTAATGAGCACTTACTGTTACAGTCTAGACTAGAATAGGGTATACAAAATAAATGTGGTAGAATCCTCCCCCTGAGAGTCTCACATTTAGTAGGAGAGATGGACACGTTTAATTAAAATGTAATGTAAAAAGAGCTATGATAAAGCAGTATATTACAGAATCAAGAAGAAGGAAGAACATTTCTGGGAGGACTAAGAAAAACCTCCCTCTCAGAGGAGATGACCTTCAAACTGGGTCTTGTAAGTTCAGGGTCCCCTACAGTGTTGTTTTCCAGGAAGAGGAAACACATGGACAAAAGGGACAGAGGCATGAAAGAGCATGACATGCTTACTGGCTGCTGAGTAGTTCTAGGTGGTTCTGGGTTCTAGAGCATATGGAAGGAGAGGTGAGATCATAAGCTAAAAAGACTGACTGGGGAAGGAATTTAATTACCCTTTAAAAATTAAAAAAAAAACCCCACATTTATTGGAAGTTTATTGAAGGACAAAAAGTAAATGCATAGACTGCAGAGATATACCATGTTCATAAACGTGATGACTCAGGATCATAAAGATAGATTTTTCTCCCCAAATAAATTCAGTGCTATGTCAATTAATACCCAAGGGATTTTTTTTTGAATGAGATGTGACTGAGTATAAAATTTGTATAGAAAAGGGGCCAAAATAATTAACCAAAATAATTTTAAAAAGATAGCAGAAATGTACCTTCCCAACTATCAATATGAATCTAAGTTTTAACAACTAAAACATTGTTGGAGGCATTTCTTAAATGTTGAGAATAATTCATCCTGATCATCTTTCAGTGCCCAGCAGATGTGAATTTTTTATTGCTCTGGCATTATTGTATAGGATGACTTGGGGAAGCGGGGTAGCAAGAACAGAGTTGAGCTCACATGCTGGTACTTCAGAAAGTCGGCTGAGAGATGCTGAGAATGGACAAGGATAGTAAACATGGAGAAAGAGATCTGAGTAAAAAAAATGCTGAAGAGAGAAAATCATCAGACTTTGAAGTTTACCTTTGTTGGAGGGTAGGTGTGTTGGGCATGAGCCAAGAGAAGGATAACGTGAAGGTATCAAACCTGGGTGGTTGATTGGACAGTGGGTCTGTTAACAGAAAGCGTGACTATCAGAGGAAGCCCAGATTGGGTTTACTCCGGGATATGTTGATTTTAGGGTCCTCTTGGACAGAGAAGTAGGTATCAGGAAAGTAACAGTGGAGTTTGGGAGAGCTGGAGGCAGCCATTTTAAGTATTTGTTGAAGTAATAAACATAAAATGCCCTGTGCAGATTCCAAGATCAACGAGGAGAGGAGGAGGCCAGAGCAGGTGGGGAACGCCTCCTGGGGGAGATGATGCCTGTATCTGTACCTGGAAGGTTGGGAGGGTCTAAAGAGGCAGAAATGTAATGTGGGGCAGCCCAGGTTACAGGGCAGATGCAGAAGCTGAGTGAGACTGGAGTGTGCTGATGCTGGAGAGTTTGGGCTGGATTGGCAAGAAGCCTCCAAAGGTGGTGAGAAAAGAGAGGGCTAATGGGGCCCTTGGGTGGCTCAGCCGATTAAGCGTCTGACCCTTGATATCAGCTTTAGGTCATGATCTCAGGATCGTGGGACTGAGCCCCGTGTTGGGCTCTGCGTGGTCAGTGTAGAGCCTGCTTGGGACTCTCTCTCTCCCTCCTCTGTCCTTTTCCGGCATGCTCTCTTTCTCTCTCTCTCTTTCTCTCAAAATAAAATAAAACTAAAAACAAAAATGGGCTAAGCACAAAGGAAACCTTCTTAGTTTTCCATCGACATGTGCAGAATGACAGGTACCCCCTCACCTTTGCATTTGTTGCAAGTTGGGTGACACCTCTCACACATCCGTGTGCCTTGCTCTGCATAGTAATGCTCTGGGCAGGTGCGATGACACTCTCCCTTGGGGCGGAGCAGGAAGAAATATGTATCGCAAGACAGGCAGTCGGTGGGTTCTGGGCCCCGGCACGCCTTGCAGCTCTTGCTGCACCTCTCACACCGTCCAGTGGAGTTTTCTGCGTAATATCTGAAACCAAGTGGGGAAGCAAAGACTGAATCGTAAGCTTTGCTCTTAAGTTGGGTGTGGTGGAAAAATCATGGTTAGCCAGACAGTGATTGTTTCCAAGTTGGGTGACATTAGGCTCGACTCATGAACTGTACTCAGTAGCTACATTACTATAACCACACCGCCTTTTACTCCGCTTTGCTTTACTGGGGGCTTCGCAGATATTGTGTTTTCTACGGACTCAAGGTTTGCGGCAACCCTGCGTTGAGCAAGTCTATTGGCATCGTTTTTTCCAATAGCATTTGCTCACTCTGTGTCTGTCACATTTTGGCAATTCTTGCGATATTTCAAACCTTCGCATTATTATACTTGTTACGATGATCTGTGATCAGTGATAATGACTCATTGAAAGCTCTGATGATGGCTGACATTTTTTAGCCATAACATATAATTTAGGGACGTACATTGCTCTTTTAGACATCAGGCTCTTGCACCCTTCATGGACTACAGTCTAGTGTAAACCCAACGTTTATATCCACCGGGAAACGGAAAAATTCATTTGACTTGCTCTCTTGAGATATTCACTTTACTGTAGTGGTCTGGACATGAACTGGAGTAGCTCCAAGGTTTGCCTTTAATGATACTAACAAATCTAATGATTCTCTGTTTTCTTATCTTTAAATTGGGCACTACTTCCCTGCTATTCGTGAGTATTAAATTAGGTAACATATAAGAAAGGACCTACGACTTATCACATATAGTGGGGCTGCAGTAATTGCTCACTACTTTTGCCTTCTTTATACCCCATCTGCTTCTCCACTTGAAAATTCAAGCCTCGAGGTTTGCAGGATGGGATCAGGTTATGGAGGATGTTTTAAATGTACCTCTGAGCGATTCTTGTAGTTTTTCAATTAAAAAAACTCTTGAAATAGGAGATGACACAAGCGATGCTAATGTTTACACAATAATAGACATAACCTTTTTGAAAAGATTTTTGGAGGCTAATATGACAATAATCACTGGTGGTTAACTTGTCACTATGTACCTGAGTGTGCACAAGAGACTTCATAAACATTAGTTCGTCTTACTGACCCTAAAGTGAGACACTAGAGCATGACAGTCAGGAGCTTGCCTTTTGGAACAAGACTGTGTGGAGTCAAAGCCAAGCTATTCCACCCATGAGCTGTGCGACTTTGGGCAATTCACACGACGTCTCTGTCTCAGGTCTGTAATATGGGGCTTAATGTCAGTAGCTAAAATTAAACAAGTTATTATTGAGAAACTTGTTACAACAGTGCCTGGAACGTCATAAACAATGCATATTAGTGATAATTGCGAATTGTATGGTCAAATCTCAAAGCAAATCTTATGATTTAGATATTATTATCCCTATTTTACGTATGTAAAAACTGAGGCTCAGAGAATTTAGATAACTTGGCTTAATGTCAAACAGCTCGTGAAGTGGGGTAATGTGATTTGACCCTACCTGTTAAATGCCGCTATAACAAAGCGGTGCAAAGTAAATAAAAATGTTTCAAGTAAGATAGAAGAGAGAAGAGAAATCGTGGACAAAGATGAACTTCTAGAGGCCATCTGACACTTCTTGGCATCGCTGGACATTGGCACACTGAAACTATCCTAGAAACCAGAGGCTTGCCCTTGACTTCTCTGGTGTGAAACTATCTGCCGCCTCAGGTCCCCCAAAGTTTATTTCAGTTCCACTAACTTGTTGGAAACTAAGACCATGACTGAGTCTGCCTCTACTGAGCCACCTATCACTGGCCTGAGGGAACCCACTTGCAAGTCAGCGGCCAAGCCTTGTCTGACCTTGCACCGGTAGGTGAGGAACAGTTACTGCGAGTCACTGGGAGTGTGAGAGAGACAGGGTCATGAAAGGAGAAATCTTCAGTCATGAAGTGAAGGGTTGATAAAGCCCACAAAAGCCTCAAAAGAGAGAGCCACAGGGAAAGGTAGAAATCCACACTTTCCCAGACCGAGAATACACAGGCTGAAGACGGAAGCTCTGATTTCTAGTCTTGGCTCCACTGTGTTTTAGTAGCTTTGTGACTTTGGGCAAGTCACTTAGCCTCTTTGAGCCTCAGTTTCCTCATCTGTAAGATGGCGAGAATAGTATCAATCTCCTAGGATTATTGGAGACCAAAATCATCATATAAAAATACATTCTGAGTAGAAATACTTTGTAAACTCTAAAACGGCATAAATGTGTTTTACTAATGTTATGGGTTTCTACGATGAAATCATCAATAGGAACTGTGGGGGAGAAAGGTTATTAATACCTAGTAGATTTTAAAACTTATCAGAGAGTAAAGGACAGTGGAGAGTTTACTAGATACAATTAAAAGAAGAGTACGATACCACTGCTTGCTTTGATGACAAGGTGGCTCTGAAATCGCCTGATCCTCTTTGCCCGGAAGAGGATTTTGTGCATAAATGCAAACAATAATCGGAGCCTTGGAAAACCTGCTCTGAGGTTAAACGCTAACATAATTATATGTGTTGGTAACGGGTTCTGAGGATCATATACCTGCCTTTCCAAGGCAAAGAGATTTAACAAATGAAGTGGATGAAATGTATGAGGAACACTGATTTTACAAAAAGGAACAATTTCCATTAAATATCTCCACTTATACTTCATTAATACCTCATTGGTTCCCCATTAAAGAGATTTATGGCAACCTGTGTCTCTCTCCCCAGTGGGTAACTTTACAGTGGGACATCTGTCTTAATTCCATGGCCTACACTCTATTTAGATCACAAGATTACATCCTCTTGTGTGTAGGAGTATTTAATGACTTGATCTGAGGAAGATGGAGATTCCTTTGATTGGCCCCAGATCTTTTCAGACACCTTCTGGAATGAGGATCAAAGGCTAAGCCAGGTGGCCCTATACCCTCTCTTGTTTGGTAGGGCCCTTCCTTCCTTGATCTATATGGCTGGTATTTTTGAAGGCTGCTAACATGTGTGACTTTCTGCTGAGTATTATGGCAATATGTGTGAAAAAAGTAAGAGGTTTATATTTTTCCAGGTCCTTATAATTTTCTTGGTAAGAAGTATATAAGAAGGATAAATTCTTAAAGGTCAAAATCTTCACATTACACATACAAGGTTTTTTTTTAAACATGTGTGGAATGAGTGAATGGATGAGGTAAATCAAAACAGAGGGCAGTGTATATAGCACTACAATGAGTAATGCAGGCAGTACTTGCTATAGAAACCTAAGAAAAGAAAAGTGATGTCTAATCTGGACAGAAGCATTTGGGAATGTCTGAGGTTATAGCCTTTCAGTTTGGGTCTGGAAACTCTCAGTGCCTTAGATTACTGATTGGGAAGGAAGAATTAGCAACAGGCCCGTAATCAATCTTTCTCTTTATTGCTGACTCCTGGGACGGGGGGTGCGGGGGGAAGGGATGACCCAGTCAAATCTTTCAAATAGGCCGGTAACCAGACCCTCTGATAAATACACTCAAAGTTTTTCCTAGCAAAAAATAATAGAGTTCTTATATGCAAAGTGTTTTTAGGAGGGTACATCCGTGTACCTGCGTTGCTTATAGTAACTAAGCCTGCAAACAATGGATTTATGGGGACGTGGTTGGTTGGAGCGTTGGTGGGGTGTTAAGTGGGGATACATAACTCAGATTGTTCCCTTTGTAAAATTAACTGCTCCGCATACATCGCTTTGGTCTTACCTATTAGAACAAATCCTAATGCAGAAGAGAAAGGACCTACTTTATGGTCTTAAGACTTTGCCTTGTGATTGCTTGTGCCTTGAAATTAGTAGTGAAGTCACATGATGATTGGCATTTTGTGTTATTTCACTGGGTCACTCCGCCCTCAGCCATTACTCGGAACCAGCTGAAATCCTTTAGAGACCATTAGACCCTGGTTGGACTCCCATCTTCACTTCTTACCAGGGCCGAGACCCGGGTCTGGTGTTCTTAGCTTCCTCGTCTGCAAAGTGGGTTTGCCGGTAGTGGTATCCGGAGTGGTTCGGGGATTAAATGAGGGAACCGTGTACTGAGCACCTTACCCTTCCCTGCAGTGGGCCAGGCACTCCTTTCCCAGCTGGAACAAGCCTGGCTGGCAGGAGAGGCACTGTGCGCTGCGTCTCCCTTCGCAGGTCCTACAAGAGCTGTGGCAGGGGACACACTGGTGGCTGTCCTCATCAGCGTAGTAGCCCTCGGGGCAGTCCTGCACGCAGGTCGTGTCTGCCAAGGAAGGAAGAGAGTCTGCCTTGGTATCAGGTATGACACGTCTCCTAGATCTCCTCTCTGTGCTCGCCATAGTGAACCATGGTGGGGGGGGGGTGGTGACGCAGGAAGAAAGGGACAATGTCCTTGTAAATGTCTTCCTTCTCAGGTCTGCTGGGTTGAGGAGATAGATGCGGACACTTTCCAGGTCCTGAGAACATTTGTCTCTTTCTTCCCTCTCTCCTATGTGCCTGTATTGCTCCTTCGTTTAGCTGAGTGAGCTTTGGTTCATTTTCGTTCTCCCTTAACTGTGTTTGCACTTAATCATGGTATCCCTGGAAACCCGCGGGCAATGCTTCACATTAGCAGTAGCCTTCAAACATGATCTGCTGGAGGTGGCCAACCTCAGATGGTGCCGTACTTCAAGAAGACTTATTAATCAGTGGATGCAAAATCGGGGAAGTTTTGATGAGGGGGTCAATGCCTGCATGTTCGTAAAGCGTCTCTCCCCAGACTGCTTATTAATCGCAAGGGAAAACAGTAACAGAGGACTATGGGTAGCATCACTGATGAGGGGCAGGTGAACATCCTGGGTTTCCCGAAGGACGCAACATCACCTGTGAAGCATTCTGGCCCGAGAATGCATCGTCTCTGTCTAATCACGGGAAACTTCAGACAGACTTCAACGGAGGGATAGGGGCTGTATTCTTCCAAAATGTCAATGTTATATGGAAAACATATCTGTGGCAATGTTTCAGGTTAAAGGTGGCTACAGATACATGGCAAAGAAGCAACTCCTGATGGGAGACTGGACCTTGGTCTAAAGGGGGATTACCATAATTATAAAACAGATGATAGAGTATTGATGTTAAATTTACGTGCATTGATAGCTGTACTGTGCCTATGTAAAAAAAGCATCCCTATTTTTAGAAATACTCTCTAGGGCGCTGAGGTGGCTGAGTTGGTTGAGCATCGGATTCATGATTTTGGCTCAGCTTATGATCTCATGGTTACGGGATTGAGCCCTGCATCAGGCTCTGCACTGACAGCATGGAGCCTGCTTGGGATTCTCTGTCTTCCTCTCTGTCTCTGCCCCTTCCCAACTTGCGCATCCTCTCTCTTTCAAAATAAACATTAAGAAAATAGACATTCTAGGGGTGCCTGGGTGGCTTAGTCGGTTAAGCGTCCGACTTTCGCTTAGGTCATGATCTCGCGGTTCGTGGGTTCGAGCCCCGCGTCGGGCTCTGTGCTGACTGCCGGCTCAGAGCCTGGAGCCTGTTTCAGTCTGTGACTCCCTCTCTCTCTGACCCTCCCCTGCTCATGCTGTCTCTCTCTCTCCTAGAAATAAATAAAAAATATTAAAAAAAAAAAAAGAAAATAGACATTCTAAAGCATTTATGGGAAAGGAGCCATGATGTATATATCCTATCCCTAAGCGGTCGGAAAGAAATATATTGTGACATTCACATCAACAGACGGAGAGCAAGCTAATGAACAGGGAAATGGGGTACAAGATTAGTGTGGGTCGAGTGGGTGAAGGGCACATGTATGACGGCCTTTGTGCTTTTGCTTCTTCTCTAGGTTTGAAAATGTTCCAATTATAAAGCAAAAAATTAGAAAGACACTAAATATGTACCGGGCCCTGGGCATCGTGCAAGGTGGCTTCCCGGATGGAGGGAAAGAGAGAGGGGAAAAGTAACTCACTGAGCAGAAGGCTGTCCCTCAGGCAGGTGTGACACTGGTCCTCTGTGGGCCCCGTGCAGCGGAAGCACTTAGCATGACAGGGCTTGCACCCCAGAGCCTCGTGCCAGTACTCAGTGGGTGCACATTCCCTGTGAGGCATGCAGCGTCCGTGGCTGTCCACCCACAGGCCTTCCTGACAGGTTGTGCAGGTCCCAGGTGACGAGCAGGTCTGGCAAGACTTGTAACAGTCTGTGGGCGGGGGCGCAGGCGGAAGACACAGTGAGAGAGGACCCGGGCACCCCCGGAGGGTGTGTTCACGCTCCTCCCTCAGTTCCTTTAGAGATTTCTCGGGCTCTGAGTCAAGGGCGAGGGACTGTGAGTTGGGTACAGCCCTGGGGGTTCTGGGTAGAGCATTCTCCTTGTCTGGCGAGGAGAAAAATGGCTATTTCCCATTCTCTGTAATATCTAGAGAGCCCCTTCTGGCAACATCCAGAAATTCTAGACTTGGCCTCATTTACCAAAACTGCAGTAAAGTAATAAGCAACTCTGCAGCACGGTCACATGGCGTGCGGCCCGCTCACCACCGTGACTCTTGTTCTGTGGTCCTCCACTGACCTCCCAGAACACCTTGACCTTATCACTAACGGAACAATTGTTGGGATGTCTTTCAATTACCTGTTGACGAAAGAAAAGTAAAATAAAATAAGAGGCCTCTTCTGTAGTCACTGATGAATGCACGGTACCTAGGTGCGGGCCTGGCATGGAACAGGCTCTTGGTAAATTCTTGGTAGACAAATAAAATGAGAGCAATTCGTTCCTACCCCGGGGTTTCAGCAATCGCTGTTCCCTCTGCCTAGAGTTCTCTTCCCCTAGATGTGTGTGTGGTTTGTGGCCTCTGTCGGTCAAGGACGTCTTCCGGCTGCCTTCTCTCCCACTGCAGCTCCATCCTGTCCAACTTCCTGTTCCCCTCCCTTGACTTATTTTGCCTTTTGCCTTCTTTAGTGTCTGTCTTCTGCCATGGAACGGAAGCTCCATGAAGCCAGGACTCTGTATTGTCCCCTGCTTCTTCCCAGGCCCGGAGGAGCACTTAGCATATAGTAGACCCCCATTAAGCACTTGCTGAATGCATAGACACATGGCATTAGTGTTACCACCTCATTTTATGCTGATCAGGAAATTGGGGCTGAACATGCCAAGTCACTTGGCTAGAAAAGGGCAGGGTTAGGGGGTGAACCCAGGAGTTCAATAAGAGCTCTAGCTACATCTGCCCCAGTGCCTTGGGATGGGTATGGGGTTCTTAGAGGTGCCTATGCTACCTCAGAGCGGATGAATTGGGTGATCTGAATGATCCCAAGCCCTTGTGTTTCTTAGAGGAGGTCTTGCTTGGTTCCAGATGCTTCTCTACACCTTTGTTTCTTCTCTCCGGAAAGTCCAGTGATCATCCTGTTTCTTCCAGTACAAGCTTCCCTCTGTCTGCTTTTGGGCTGGTGGAGGGAGCACTGGCCTAGCAGGGAGAGCCCTCGAATTCCCAACAGTTGAGTTGGTTTAAGGGGAGCCCAGGCATCTGTACAGTTATATATATTTTTTAAAGCTCCCCAGGCCATTCTAATGGGCCACCAGGGATGGGAGCCTGGGCCCTTCCTCAATGAGAAGATTAAATCAGGTAAATCAAATAATACTGTGAGGCCTATGAACTGTTCTCTATGGCAAATTACTTTATTGTTGAACATCAGAGAAGGGGCCAGAAACTGACCCTCTGCTCCTGCCTGAGCACAGGCAAGATGGCACCTCAGAACCTTGGCTGAGTCACTAAATTCTCAAGGAAACTGACCCCAAGCTCGCTCCCACCCTGTCGTCTGCCCATTTCCGAGCCCGTGTTCTTTCGGGTTGACAATAAAGAGTGCCTTCCATGAAACACACAAGAAAGTAGATCCAGATCACAAAGCCAGAGCAGAAGCCTTCAGAAGTCAGCCACATCTTTGTGGCCCGTGACATGCAAACCTTTGCTCAAGTATGTCCCAGACATGGGTGGCCCAGGGGTTTTCCTGCCACACGCGCCCTCCCTCAAGCTCCGGCCGTTGTTGGGGCCACCTCTGCATATCCAGCCAGTGTTTGCTTGGTGGCAGCGGGGGCAAAGTTCCCACTGGCTGCTTAGCTGGACTGAACCCTGGAACTCTGGAAGAGTCCACCCAGAATGACTCATTTGTTTGAGGATTCTAGTAACAGACAATATCCTGCTCAGAGGCAAACAGTTTATACCCAGTTCAAACATAAGGAGGCATAAACAATAGCAGATCTCTACTTAAACCTTCTGCGTAGGGTCCCAGGGCAGGAGCTGCCGAAGCAGATGAGCCGAGGAGGGGAACCTTAGGGAGGGAACCGAGGAGGGAGACGAGAGGCACCAAGAAAATTCTCTGTGGCACAGCTTTCCTTATGCTGCTGTAAACCTTCATTGGCCTCAAGTTTTAAGGAAAAAAAAATTTTCCATGAGGTGCCTGAGTGGTTCAGTCGGTTAAGCATCTGAGTCTGGCTCAGGTCATGATTTCACAGTTCTTGAGTTCGAGCCCCGCATCGGACTCTCTGCTGTCAGCACAGAGCCTGCTACGGATCCTCTGTCTTCCTCTCTCCGTGCCCCTCCCCTGCTCGCTCGCTCTCTCTCTCTCTCTCTCAAAAATACACATTAAAAAAAAAATGCTTCCATCTTGGGTGACTTTCAAAGCCTCGTGTCCTCTGTGAAGCTTCACACGAGAATTCTTTGTGATCAGCAGTTCAGAGCCCCTGTTTTGAGGAGGGTCAACCTGATTTATTATTAAGAAAAGTGAACACGGTCAAAACTTATGAATGATTCATTTTTAAAAAAATAAATAATAAATTAGAGCAGATTCAAAGTCTGCTTTCTGGAGCAGGAGGGAAAACGGATTGGACGACAGCTCTGGGGCTGGAACCCTGGCAACCCCCCACAGCTGAGGCAGGCGCCCCGGGGTGCCGTGCTTGGTCACGCCCCCGGAAGTCTTTACCTCTGCAATCCTTAGTCTCTTTTTCGTAGTAAGTCCCTTCCGGACACTCATCCAAACACCGGCCATCATAGAGAACCGAGGACGCCTCAGCACAGAGGTCACAGTCATCCGCTGAGGGGCCACTACACTCCTGACAGTCTTCGTGGCAGGGGACACACTGGCGTGTGTCTTCGTAGAAGCCGAGGGGGCAGGATTGATGGCACACGTCCTGGTACAGGAAGGACTCAGGCATACACTCTGGGGAATGGAGGAAGCAGCAAGTTACCCCCTCGGCAAAGGAGAAGGGAGTTCATTCCTCCTGCAGTGGGCTAGCCTGTCCCGACCACACTGGCTCCTCTGACCTGGGTGTTACATGTCTGTGTCCCCAGCCCACCCTGCCGGGGCACATCCCCCACCTCTCCAAGCTTTGGGAGAGAAGATCACATAGGATGGCCTGATGAGAAGGTGCTGGATTTCCAGCCCGAAATGAACTGCCCCTTGGAGCGTCCAGTGGCAGACGGGTGATGGCAGAGATGCCGGAGCTATTGTTTGAAAACCTGGAAAGCTCTACCAGATCTTTAAAGTGGTATTGAGCACCTCACACTTTATTCGATCCAAAAGTGGTTAAGGAATTCTTGCATGAGTTAATTTTTCATTCACTGCTAGGGGAGATCAATGACGTACACACAGTTACACTCAGTGTGGAAGGCACTGTGAGTTTCTTTTATTTTTATTCATTCTCTTTTTTGGGGGGAAACCAAGAAAACGCTTTCAGTTACGCCAAGACCATTTTTTTTTTTTTTTTTTTTGATAGAACAGTGCCAGTGAAATGAGGCTTACTCTGGAGAGGAAATTAGACAGGCTTTGCTGGAGATAATTCTAGAGAAAGAATTCCTAGCCAGAGTGCTCTTCTGAGTCTTAACTGCTGCCTGAACTTTCTTCCACATCTTTTTAAAGAGTCACGTGTGATTCTCAAGCCACCTCTGTGTTTCATTGGTGTCAGTCTCTCCTGTAAGATTTTGCGCTCAAGGAGGCAGGCACTTTGGGTTCTTATCTGTATCACTAGCACCTGAGATAGTGCTTGGCACACACCAAGTGCTCAGTACCCATGTAGAACAGGGTTTTTCTCCTGTCTTCACTTGCAGAATCCATAGTGGAAAGGCTTTATCTCACTCTTGAAGTCCTCAGTGACGTGCACAGAGGTAGATCTATTTCAGGAAAGGCAAGGAGACTGCCTCCTTCCATTCTGCGTGGACCTCCCCGCCCCAGTCCTCAGCGGGGGTGGCGTGGGCGAGCCACATTCTCCCCTGGGATGCTCCCAGGTACCTTTGCATGTTTGCTCATGGATGCAGTCCTGACACATGTTGGGGCAAGCCTTGCACACCCCGTCCACGGCCACGTGCCTCTCGGGGCAGGTTTCCCGGCATGCTCCCTGGTCCAAGAGGAGGCCCCCTTCGCAGGAGTGGCAGCTGGTGGCATTTCCTTCACATGTTCTGCAGGGGGCGTTGCAGCGCCTGCATGTGCTATTTTCTGCATAGAAGCCACTGTGGGGATAACAGAGCACAAATGGAGAAGCTTTCCGACTAGGGAAGGAGCCACGCCTGGTGGCCCAGGGTTTGGGGCTGAGCAAACCAGAGGCACTGTTGATACTGTTGGGCAGAATGAGTCGGTCAGATTCCTGAGGGGCTGCCGACAGATCAAATGTGGGAAGATAAAATGAAAGTCCTAGGTACTAGCCTTGCGAACTTGGTTCATTTGGAAACAACTGTTGTTAATTTGTATGTAGCTTAGCTGTCATCTGATTTCCTCATTTTATTTCCTAATTTTTCTTTATTTTCTTATTTCAAAGGTTCATTTATTTTTGAGAGAGAGCATGAGCAGGGCAGGAAGAGTGAGAGATAGGGACAGAGAATCCAAAGCAGGCTCTGTGCTGAGAGCAATGTGCCCGATGTGGGGCTCGAACTCACGAACTGTGAGATCATGACTGATCATGACCTGAGTTAAGTCGAGAGGCTCCACTGACTGAGCTACCCTGGCCCCCCACCATTTTTTCTTTTTTTAAATTAGAGTCCGATGTTAGAGTAGAAAATGTATTTATTCAATACATTTTTAATGAAAAATTTTAATTTAACAAATTATTTGATTGAATACTTAATATACAATGTTAATAGTTAAGTTATAAATAATTTTTTTAAAGGCTCAAAAGGTTAAAGGCCCTATAAGATTGGAACCACTTTTGCTTCCGATGCTCTCAGCTAACCTCTGGTGGCTTATTTTAAACACACACATACAATGTTTGCACACAGCAGCAAACACATTTGGAGTAGCTGTTATTGGAGTATAATGTTTGTCTGATTGACTTTCTTCCAGGTGGAATCTGATGTCTGTCTGTATATTGTACACCCGAATGATTGATTTATCATGCTATAGAAATCTCTCACTGATCAGTGAACACAGTAAATATGAAAGCCTCAACCTTTTCAAATACATTTGGAAGATGAGGGAAATATAGTTTCTTTGATGAAAAAAGCTGAAGGGAAGAGCTGGAACTTGCAGAAGCAGGGAAATCATAAACCAGTATTGAGAACGTGGGCTTCTGATGTCATAGGTACCTATTCCAGTTGTTTTCTATAATTCTCATTCTGTTTGTCAGCTGGTACCGTAACAGCGCTGCGTAACAAAACACCACAGAGCTCATCACTCGTCTGTCTGTGGGGAGGCAGATTTAGGCTGAGCTCGTGCCCAAAGAAGCTTATGTCTGTACAGGAAGGGTTCAGGCATGTGCTCTGGGGGAAGGAGGCTTGGCTCCATGATGGACACCAGGTCCAAGTCTTCTTCACATTGCATTATCCTCCCCTGCAGAGGGACCTACTGGGGCCCTTTCTTCTCTTAGTCATGACGGAATCACAAGAGGGCAAGTTCGTCCAGGCAAACACATTTTTCAGCCTCTGCTTCCCTTCTGCTCACATCCCATTGGCTAAATCAACCCTGCCCAAAGTCAAGGGTCAGGGAAGTCCATTCTGTCTCTGTGGGAATTGCTGCAGTGACAAGCAGAGGGCATGGATACACAGAAGGGTGAAGAATTGCAGCAAATACTCAATATCCTAGAGTCATTTTTGCATCCTAATGCCAATAAGTGATCCTACATGGCATCTTTTTTTGATGCTTTAATTAATTAAGTCATTTCACATCTATTTAATCACTCTTTCAGCCATTCCTTGTATTTATTCAGTAAGCAAACATGTATTGAATGTGTCAGGAAGAAATAAGACAAAATAGCACTGGAGGGGACTAAAAGCTACATATCTAATGTAGCTTTAAGAAAGAAAAATGGAAGAGGAAGCAGTTTAGTAGAAGAGGAAGAACTAAATAGATGAAAGCTAGGACCAGGCTTCCGTATGCACCAGTATCTTAGCTGTTTTGGTCCACAGTGGAGAAGAGTCAAAGACAATGCAACTCGGTCCAACCAAGTGAATCCCTTAAAAGTGAATTTGGCAAGACAGTGGATAGAAATACGTTACATGCTCAGTAAGAGTTTGATTGAATTTGAGAAATTTGAAGGTAAGGAAGTTGAGTGCATTCCCAAAGGTGTCGCGTCTTCTACCTGAATGAGAATTTCATGGGTTCATTGTTTCTCTGTCCCTAATGAAGGATTTGGCCTCACCCAGAGAGAGGTCTGGCTATTCCCCCTAGCTGACTTCTAAATTCTTGGAATTCCCCAAGTGGTGCGAATGTCTTTGTTATTCCTTGAGGCCCTGTCTGACCACGTTTGATCCTTTTAAGGAAAGGACCGACTCCGGGTGGGGCCGGCCACACCCTGTAGTTTTAGAAGGGGAAGTGACTATCCTAAGAAGCCAACCTTGTGTTTAGAGGCTGGGGGCTTTGGTTCATGTGATAACCCTTCACCTCTGGTAAGTTTTCTTAAAAAAATTTGTTTAATGTTTATTTATTTTTGAGAGACAGAAAGAGACAGAGCACGAGTGGGAGAGGGTGAAAGAGAGAGGACACAGAATCCAAAGCAGCTCCAGGCTCTGAGCTGTCAGTAAGAGCCCGATGTGGGGTTTGAACCCATGAACCCTGAGATCATGACCTGAGCTGAAGTAGAGCGCTTAATTGACTGAGCCACCCAGGCATCCCAGGGAATTTTCGGTGCTAAGCCTGGCCAAGGTCTCTACAGATTTGTTTCTGGACATTGAACATGAGCGGTTCGAGTATAGAATGTGAGAAGATGCACCACAGAGAAACCTTTCCCAGATTCTTCTCCTAGGGGAGTCCGTGGATGTCATTTGAGATGCTGAAATAAAAGGAACGGATTCAGGCAAAAAAGAAAACAAAATATGAAGCAAGTGGAGTCAAGTTTGGTAATCTGATTTAAATAGAAAATTTATCCTGGATAATCAGGGTGTGTCAGGATAATCATGAGGCTAAAACAGGGAAGAATTAGGAGGAATAGAAAAATGTCCAAATGATGGGATAAAAAACACTCAAATTTGTTTGGGGTGCCTGGGAGGCTCAGTCGATTAAGCGTCCGACTTCAGCTCAGGTCATGATCTCACGGTTCGTGGGTTTGAGCCCCGCATCGGGCTCCCTGGCAGCACAGAGCCTGCTTGGGATCCTCTGTCCCCCTGTCTCTTTGCCCCTCCCCCATGTGCATGTGCTTTCTCTCTCTCTCTCTCTCTCTCTCTCTCTCCCTCCCTCAAAAATAACCATTAAAATTTTTTTAATGGATATTATTTTTCCAATGTTTTGTTTAGTGATTCTTTCCCCACTAGCATCAAATTTTATTCACTTCAAATGTTAAAAAGAAAGCACAGTAATAAAAAACTATTCAAGATGACTGCTAACTGAAAACGATGTGAATCTCAGGAATTGTTGGGAGTTAGCCGGAAGGTTCTTCCTCAGAGCTCTTTTGCTAAAAACAGCCTTCCCTGCACAGACCTGCCCAGTAACTGGTCTTCCTGTGTTCTCCTTGGCTTTACAAAACTTTTTTGTTAATGCTTTACTTCATGGTTATTTTCATTTAAGAAGAGAAGTAATATTTCTTTGGAGAAGACATGGCCACTTGTATTAATTGTTAATTTCAAAGTCCTTTCTGTTGAAGTTGTTGGACCCAGACAAATAAGGAAACAAGAGCCGTACAGTTGTGGGGCTTCACCCATATAGATACCTGAGACTGCTCAAAATATACAAAATATCTTGGCCACTGTGTATCTGCATAGTGTCCCGTTGCTTCAGAGAGCGGCTTAATCTCGATTTGGAGAAGTGAGCTGCCAGCTCACCAGAGGAAGGCAGAAATGCTGCTCTTCCTTCTTTGCTTTACTGCATTATCAATTCCTGTAACGTTCAAAGAATCCAAGATGGAGTTGGTGAAGGGTGAGAATATTAAGTAAGGTGATAATAACGGACAGTCGGTTGAGTCCTGCCCTGGCAAAGGTTACCGAAGAGGCAACAACGGACTTTGGGAAGTAGATTACTGGGCTTCACCTTTGATTTTCTATCGTGTCTTGGCTAACTTTGCTGTGTGGTTGTTTGAGCGTCTGGGCTCTGGGGGTTTCCTGACTCTGCCTTGCCTCCTCTTTCCTTCCCTCCCCTTCCTCTCTGCCTGACAAAATCCTCCAAGAGCTATTCAGTATGAAGTGTCTTCTCACATAGCCAGCTGGAGAGGAGCCTTGCAACTCCGCTAAGTAGAGGAAACCAGCTCAAAAGATCAACATTTTGTAGGATTCCAGTTTTGTGAAATAGCAAGGAAAAGGCAAAGCTATCGAGACAGAAAGTAAATTAGTGGTTGTTTAGGGACAGGGGGGCAATTGGGAGTTTCTTTTTGGGGTGATGAAAATATTTTAAAATAGATTGTGGTAGAGCGATTGCCCAACTCTGGAAACATCCCAAAAGCCCTTGACTTGTACACTTGGCATGAGTGAATTGCATGGTATTAAATTACATATAAGCTGTTCTTCAAAAAGAAAAGAAGCCCCAGTTAGATGAGAAGGTGGCATTGTGTAATGACTAAGCACATGCACTTGAGAGCTAGAGAGATTTGGTGCAAAATCCTCGCCATTCCAGGGATTAGCTGTGTGATCCTGGCATGCTACCTCACTCCTCAAACAGCAGACAACAGTAGTGTCTGGGTAAGAAGCTTCTTGTGAGGATTAGTGGGATCATACATTGGGAGCCCTTAGTACAGTGTCTGGACGTCACAAGGCTCAACAAGTAGCTGTTTTTAAATGGTTTCCTTTCCCTTGGAATTCGTAGCCTTTTATGTATTTAGACCCCTGAGAAGTATGACATTGGTTGATATAAACCTCCTCTACTGGATTATAGGTCTTTTGTAGGCTCAGACTTCCTTCAGTTGCTTATAACTTAGCTTCAAATGGCAATTCTTAAACCTAGTAGGCGCTAAATATTTATTGGCACAATCGAATCGAATATGTTTGGCCTCTTCGCTGGATTGGCAGCTCCTTGAGTATTGTGACTTAACGATTGTTCCCTACAGGCTCTATCTCAGTGGTGGATACAGATACTAATGATCTATTTCTATCTGCTACCAAGATAGATCTTTCTTGTACATCTATCACCGAGTTCTTTTTAATCAGTGAACACATGGAATTGCTATTTCCTTAAAATAGATTCTGTTGGTCACTTCCCCAGACTTTTTGGCCTCCCTCTTTCCAGTCTTCCTGCCTGTCAGTGTTCTGATTTTATGTGGGTGTTTAGGGGTGAGCCTTGTTTAGCCTAAACTGATCCTTCTATGTCCATCCTTCTTGCCAGAGATCAGTTTTAGAAATGGAAGTGATGCCTTCTGGCTAAGGGGATGTGAAGGGAAGTCAGAAGAAGACATAGAGGAGGGGTGCCTGGGTGGCTCAGTCGGTTAAGCATCCGGCTTTGGCTCAGGTCATGATCTCATGGTTCGTGGGTTCAAGCCCCATGTCAGGCTGTGTGCTGACAGCTCAGAGCCTGGAGCCTGCTTCAGATCCTGTGTCTCCCTTTCTCTCTGACCCTCCCCTGCTCACACTGTGTCTCTCTCTCTCAGAAATAAATTTAAAAAATTAAAAATAAAAAGACATAGAGGAGAAGAAACATGCCCTTTTCTGTCCAGGGTGGGGTGGCGGGGTTTGGCGATGGGGCAGACAACGTGGCTCAGGGGAGGACAGGCTAAGGATGATACAAGAGCAAAATGGAAAGATTGTGGGTTTTTAAGGAAGTGTTGGCCACTGATGTAACTGATGGTGGATTTCTAAACTTTTTGTTATGTGACATAAAGGACCCATATTGTCTCAGTCATTCTACAGAGGATTTCCATAGCTCATCACTCTACATTTCCTGATATACTTTTCCATTTGCTGTTTCCACTTCCCTGTTAGATCCTGGAAGTGGATCCATTGCTGGGAAGAGAAAAGGAATTACAAACCAGGGGACCGAGGAAACCATGAGGAATGAATAAATAATTAACCAGGTATCATTCTGTATTTATTATTTAGACCTCACACCTCGCCTACTATAAACATTTCACAAGAGATTCATGTGTTCACAGCCCATCACAGCCTTACTTTTGTGACAGAAGAAAAAGACAACTACTTGATCATAAACACAGGGTGGGAAAAGAGTGTATTTTTGCAAGAGTCAAAATGTGTATGTATAGTAGGCTTGAGGGAGAAGCGTGCATCTGGCCCTCTGTGTGATTTGGGTGCTGCAGCCAACGAAGATGTCAGAGTCATGAGGGGACACTTTCGGTGGCTCTGTAACCAGGGGTGGGCAGGGTCTCCTTTGGGGCAAAAGGGATTATCTTCCAGGTACAGGAGAATGAGCCAGACCCGGATGTGAAAAGAAGAGGGACACTTACTCAGGGCATCTGGTGTAGCACCTGCCTTCATGCAGGAAGAGAGGGAAGTCTGGCCGAGTCCAGCACTTTCTGCAAAGATTGGCTCCAGAGCAGGAGGCACAGTCCTCTGTACAGTTCTCGCAGCTGCCACTCATCACCGAGGGCCACGTGCCTTCAGGACAGGAAGAGACACAGGCCTGGGCCAACAGATACATGCCTAGAAGCCCAGGGAAGAAGGCACATCAGATGGTCATCACATGTCTGGTCCAACAGCACACATGTCCATGCAGAGAACGGATGCTCACAACAGGTTTTTTTAATCTCTCCAAAGACCTGAGGGTATGGAACCCTCATTTCAGGTGCACCAACATATTTGTTAGTGATGCTGAGTCTTCCATGTTGGGTTAAATCTCCACTAAGGAAATTAACTACAGGAGGCTTTTGCCCTGTTTCTTTGACTTTCCTACTGTTATTGGCTCAGGTCACCATGGGGCTTCCCTTTGCCCAACTGATCCATCTATTAACACCTTCATCTTCCCGTAAGGCAGTTACACTCGCACAGCGTGATAGAGTCTATTCTCCAAAGCCTCTTCTGTTAGGACACGAACAAGGTAGCAACTCTCCATCCAACGCCACCTTGAGTGGGTTGTCTATGTGTTTTTAATTGAAAAAAAAAAGTCAGATGACATCACTATCGAAAGAAAAGTGTTTTAAAATCACCTTCGACTTCAGAATCCCAAGAAAATTCCTTCAATTTTTGTTTGTAAGCGTTTACGTTTCATGCGGGTAGAATCACAGCACACCTGTAATTTTAACCTCTACTGCTTTGCCTCCCACCTCGCTATGAACATTGCACATTCCAACAAAATGATCACTCTAATGGTTGCTCTTAACTCTTCAGTTGTCAATGTTAATGTACCGTGTTCATAAGAACCCCCCGAATTCAGAGAAGTTATTATTTCTGATGTTTTATTATAGATGATGGAGCAGTTAATCTTTTGAGCTATTAAGTTCTTGCTCTTGTTTTTTTTTTTTTTTTTCCTCCCCTAAATTCAGTACCAGAAATGAAGAAGGAAAGAACATTTATCTACATCTAGATTCTCTACCCTAAGATCTCTTGTTTTGGCTAATGAACTTTATTTATTTTTTAAATGTTTGTTTGTTTTTGAGAGAGCATGAACCCAGAAGGGGCAGAGATAGAGAGAGAGGGAGAGAGAGAATCCCAAGCAGGTTCCATGTTGTCAGCACAGAGCCCGACATCGGGCTCCATCTCACCATCCGTGAAACTGTGACCTGAGCTGAACCCAAGAGTTGAACACTTAGCCGATTGAGCCACCCAGGCACACCATGGCTCATGAACTTTAAGGAGTAATGGAGCTTCTAGGGGCACTGGGGTGGCTGAGTCAGCTAAGCATCCAACTTTGGCTCAGGTCATGATCTCATGGTTTGTGAGTTCAAGCCCCATGTCGGGCTCTGTGCTGTCAGTGCAGAGCCTGCTTTGGATCCTCTGCCTCCCTCTCTCTCTGTCTTTACCCTGCTGGTGCTCTGTCTCTCTCTCTCTCTCAAAAATAAAATAAACATTTAAATTAAAAAGGGAGTATGTGGCCAAATCAACAGATAACTTCATCATACCTTTGGATAAGAACATTTTTTCCCTTCCCTCCCCTCCCCTCCCCTCTTCTCGCTTTTCCTTTCCTCCTTTGAAAGCCAGCTTTTTTTTTTTTTTTTTTTTTTTAAAGATTTCATCTTTCAGTAATGTCCACAGCCAACGTGGGACTTGAACTTACAACCCCGAAGTCAAGAGTTGCATGTTCTACTGACTGAGCCAGCCAGGTGCCTCTGAGAGTGATTTTTTATTAGAGGTCACTAGTTCCCTGCATTTCTCCAGAGCACCCTCTGTGATAGGAACAATGAGGAGACTAGATCAAGTCCTGCAAACCTTTTACATAAAGATGCCGCTATATATACTTAGCTTTCGGCCTCTTGCACCTCTTGTCACGCTCCACACTGACCTTTTGGACATGAAGTGCACAGGGTTGGAGATTCATTGCAGGTTTTACAAGAAGGATGACAGGGCTGGTGTCCTCTCAAAATGTCTGTGTAGGGACAGAAACCAGAAGTCAGCGTCCTGTGAACAGGCATTACGACAGGGGGAAGGGTCTCATGGGTAATCTCATCTTCCTTCCTGCCCCAGATAGAATCCCTTCAATTTTCCATTGGCTAAACACTGGTACCCACTCATTACCTACGTGGCAGACTTTATTCATTTATTTTTTTTCTCTTCCTTCTCCATTGACACTTGATTATCAAGATATTCTTTTCAAACTTCCAGTGACAGAATAGCCTTCAATGCGAAAAGGATGTTTGAACTAACACAGATTCCTTCTTTCACGTATTAACGATCTGGGGGAGTGTATGCACGCGTCAAAGAGTTTTCTAGTTAAAGGTCATCACTTCTTTCCCCATGATTCTTAGATGGCCATTTCTCTTCACTCTACGATGATGACTGAGAATTTATTGTGCCTTTTGCGGAGGGACTTTTTTCTTTTCTTTCTTTCTTTTTTTGTTCTTTGGAACCAGGTTTCATAATTGGTCAATGTTTGGGTTTTCTGTGATCTTCAGGGTCGCCCACTTGTGGAGAGCAAACCTCAATTTATCTCCTCTCAAATCATCGTTAAACATTCACATAATGGAGCCACCCTCGAGCTTTCTGGTTGGTCAGGTGATAAGCGGGCCACCTCAGGTCAATACACCATTGACCTGAGAAACATTAGAGGCATGCTCTCTCCCTTTCCCTCCAAGAACATTCGCTGGCCAGGCTTTTCCGGGAAGTCAGTAAGTCCACGGGGCAATTTCAATGACCTACAGAAGAGCCTTAGTGATGTTACTCAATTGATACAGGAGATCTTGACTGAATCTCAAGACTTGCTTGGGAGTCAGCAGGAGTCTCACGGGGGAAAATTAGAAAAGGAAGGTCTGGCTCATGATGTGTGATAGGAATGAGTCTGATCCTCAGTCAGTGACTGTTGGCATCTTACCATCCCCACCCACTCCCTCCCTCCTTCTCTCCCTCCCTCCCCTGCTTCCTGTTTCTTCTCTTCCTGAGAGTCTGCCATAGTTGAGTCTGTAGTCACACCTGCCATCAGAGCCCAGCTGTGCCACTTACGGAGGGTAACCATGGAAATGGTAATTAAACTTGAAGAGTCCTACTTCCCACGTCTCTGGAACGAGAGAAAGTGATCCTTCCCTTATGAACTGTTGCGAAGACGGAGTGAAACAATGTGCGTGACACGCACATAGAGCGGCTCCGTAAACGATAGTCCCTTCTACTTCCTTTCACCCAGCTTCTTCCTTTGTTACCATTCCACCCCGGGTCCCAGCCCTTGGCTTTATTTCTCTTTCTCTCCCTTCTCTGTTCTATATCTGGAGTGGCACTGGGAGGCATCGCTGGCTTTCTACGAAGGAGCTGTGGTGAATAAGCTGCTGAGATTTGCTCCGAGGGAAACTAGATCCAGAGGGAGGCAGGGAGGTAGACAGATGGGTGGGGATGTAGATGTAGATGTACAGACGGAAATGATCACCACGCTGTGCTAGGTGGTAGTTTCGTCCTAGTTTGGGGAGAGAAATATGCCCTGGGTTTTCAGGAGACTGCTGCTGTCCCCCTCGGGGGAGCTGTTTCGAGCCCCGTTAGCCTGGTGCAGAGCAAGTGCCAGTCATGCGCTTCTCTTACCTGCGGCCCTCCTGCCCCTCAACAGGACCAGAGCTTTCCCCGAAGGCCTTTTTAACCTGACGGTATCGCTTAACCCGGAAGAGAAGGCAGGGAAGATGAGTCAACAATTCTGTTGCTGACCCCAGTCCTCACTAATCGCCAGGGAAATGCAGATCAAACCGCAAGGCGCCATCACCTCACACCTGTTCCAGCGGCCAGGGGCCAGGAGACGTGACAAGTGTCGGCGAGGATGTGCCGGGAAGGGGCCCTTGTGCACCTCTGGTGGGAACCAGAACCGGCAGAGCCGCCGTGGAAAACGGCGTGGAGGGGCCTCAAGAGATTAAGAGTGGAACCACCATGCGATCCAGCTGTTCCTCTGCTGGGTATAGACTTGGAGGAAATGAAGTCACTGTCTTGAAGAGATGCCTGCGTCCGCACGTTCCCTGTTGCGTTGTTTACAGTGACCAAGACACGGAAACAACCGGAAGTGTCCATTGATGGATGAATGGATAAAGAGAATGAGGTGCATAGATGCAGTTAGAAAATCATTCACCCATAGGAGGAGGGAAATCCTGCCATTTGGAACAAATGGATGAATGACCCTTGAGCACCATGCCAAATGCATTGTGTCAGAGAGACAGAGAGAGAAATACTGTGCGATCTCACTTATACGTGGAACCTAAAAGGAAACCAGACCCCTAGAGTAGATTGCTGGCTGTCAGGAGCAGCGGTGCAAGTGGGGAGAGTGGGCGAAGGGGCCCAAAGTATATCAGTTCTGGGTTTTCATGAGCAGCATGGCGACTATGGCTAATACCGGACTGTATACGTGAAAGCTGCTAAGAGAGTAGTTTTTTTAAAAAATGCTTACTTATTTTTGAGAGAGAGAGAGTGGGGGGGTGGGGGTCCGAAGCAGAGCCTCTGCTCTGTTAGCGGAGAGCCCAACCCAGGGCTCGAACTCATGAACCGTGAGATCATGACCTGAGCAAAGTCAGATGCTTATTGACTGAACCTCCTAGGCACTCCAAAAAAGTTGTTCTTAAAAGTTCTCACCACACACACACACACATGCACACGAGAAAGGTAACTATGGGAGTGGTAGATGTGTTAACCTTATTGTGGTAATCATTTTGCAGTGCAGACGTATATCAGATCATCACATCATACATGGTGAGCCTGCATAATGTTGTATGTCAATTAGGTTTCAATAAGATGGAAAAAAGATAATGGCTGAGAGCAGTTCTGAAAAATAATAGCAAAATAGTCTTTTTCAGATACCATCGAAACCTTTAATATTATTATGTCTAGACCAGGGGTTGAACTTTTTCCCCCCACAGGAGTTGAAGTTTTGATTTTATCATTTTTGTACTATGTTTTTAACTTACAAATATATGAGTTTTAGAGAAGTTTCCACGGTTTTGTAAAGTATAATGTATCTATCTACACATACATATGAATTTATAATTACATCTATCTCACATTGGGGCAGGTTGATATTTTACGGAGATACGCTGGACATAAAATTCTGTAATGTCAGAAACTGACCACAAGAGGGTGCTCTGCACACACAGTTAACCGCAGTTAAAAGTGGGCAACCAAGCATCATTCCCAGACACTGCTCTTTCATAGCAAAGATTAGTGACTTAATCACAAGTAAATTTTGACCTTGATTGTGGTTTTTCTTTGTTTTCACTCCAGAAATTCTGGACTGGACAAGACCTCGAAGAAAAAAAAATCACCTTAACCAAGGAAAGGTAGAGTCTGTCCTGGAGAAATGAGTATACCTAAGCCATTTAAAAATAGGAGTTTTATTTGCTTTTTTAATTCTTAAATAAACAACACTCACAAAGTTTATTTAAAAAAATGAAGAAAGGGAATGTATTATGAAGCCTCTCTCCATTCTTTAATTTTCCTGTTTGTTTATTGATTGGTTGATTGAGAGAGAGAACGAGAGAAAGAGAGAGCGAGCACAGGTAGGGAGGAGCAGAGAGAGGGAGAGAGAATCCCAAACAGGCTCCATGCCACCAGCACAGAGCCCGACATGGGGCTCAATGTCAAGAACTGTGAGATCATGACCTGAGCCAAAACCAAGAGTGGGACGCTTCAATGACTGAGCCCCCTGGGCACCCCTCTCTCCACCCTTTTTATACAAACTATTTCCACTGTTTATCACATTTTTTGATAATGCTATATTTGGGGGACCGTTCTCTGTTGGTACAGAAAGAACCCCCTCATTCTTGTTTATGTCTCCATAGTATTCCATTGCATGGATGGATCATGCTTCCTTTTTCTAATTGGTAACCACTGGTGACCATTTCTTTTTTTCCCAGCCTTTGCTGTTTCAAATCATACGACAGTGACTGGGAAGGCAAAAGTTGCTTTTTTTCAGCCCATTCGTACATCTCTGCAAGGACAGAGGCTTTTCTTGATAGCCTCTCCCAGACGTAGCCACTCAGCACATCGGGAACGCCCTTAAGTGTTCCAGAAAACTCTACTGCTGAATTTCCTTCCTGTCTTTGGCCTTTGATCACCTACATTGTGGTCACCACCTCTTTCTGGTTTTTCTCTTGTGACTTCTGCACCCTCATTTGCTCCTCATAGCCCAGCTTCTTGGGTTGGTTTCTAAATCACAGAGCCTCTTGGTTCATTATGATTGTCTTCTCCTCCCTATTTCCCTGTTACCTCTTTTGATCTGAAACTTCCACCGTCGCTTCTGTGGCCAGGTCTTCGCCAAAGATGGGCTTGCAGTGGGCACAGGTTCTTTTTTATTAAAAAAAAATAAAGTATTTTATGTTTTTAATACAAAAAAATATAAAGAAGATAAGTCTTGCCTATCATCTCCCCACCCAGAGATGCCTGTGACATATACTTTAGCACATAGATTTCCCATCTTTATATTGAGTATGTGAGTATGATTACATATGTGTATATATGTAATCGTTTACATCTGTGTATGTAATATTGACTCTCCATTTTATATTTAATATTATACATTTTATAGGCATTTCTATTAAAATTCTTTGAATGCACTATTTTTAATGGTTCATGGATTTGCACGAACCATAATTCACTTAATTTTTTTCTTTTGTTACATTTTTAGATTACTTTATCCCTCCCCCTTTCTTGGTGATAAATAAAGCTGCTGTTGATATCTTTAGACACATTATTGGTTAAGTCAGGACTCTGCTTGGATCTTCAACATCCCAAGCTGACCAGTTTTATTTGGTGCTTTCTTTCTGGGACTGTTTTTCCCAGACCTGCATTACTCTTTAGGCCTCCAGAGTTACTTGCTTTCATGACCTAGGGAAGGCTGTTTAGAAAGTGAACTAGTGTTTCCTGCATGAAGACCAGGTCAGGTTAAAGGGTTGGGTAGGAGTGTAACTTTTATTGTGTCATAGTATGTTCTGGGTGCTTTATGTGTGTTCTCTCGTGTAATTCTCAAAATGAACTTGGCTGAGGTAGTTCCGTGTTCTTATCTCATTTATATGCTTCACTTTTTTTCTTAAAGTTTATTTATTTATTGTGGGGGGGGCATGGAGAGGGGGAGAGTCTGAGTGGGGAAGGGACAGAGAGAGAGAAACCCTAGCAGGCTCCTCACTGTCAGCTCAGAGTTCGACTTGGGGCTCGATCCTCTGAACCAAAAGATCATGACCTGAGCTGAGATCAAGGGTTGGACGCTTGACCGACTGAGCCACGCAGGTGCCCCACCACATTCCTATTTTATTAAGAAAACAATTTTTAAATTTTTAACGTTTATTTTTTATTTTTGAGAGACAGAGAGAGACAGAGCTCAAGTGGGGAAGGGACACTGAGAGAAACAGAGACACACGACCCGAAGCAGACTCCAGGCCCTGAGCTGTCAGCACAGAGCCCGACGCAGGGCTCCAGCTCACCAACCACAAGATCATGACCTGAGCCGAAATTGGATGCCCAGCTGACTGAGCCACCCAGGCGCCCCACCATGTTCTTATTTTATAGATGAGGAAACTAAGGGTCAGAGAGGATGAGTACCTTGGCCAAGGTCACACGGCTAGTAAAGAATGGAGTCAGGATGTGAATTCTGCAATGCTTACCTCTAAAGCCTACAGCCACTAGAGAGACTTTTTAGGAATTAACCTGGATTTTAAAGTAGTTTGGTAGAGGTGGAAGCAGTGGTGTACTGGTAAAATGGTTTTTTAGAAAACAAAACAAAAAAACTTTGTGATGTTTGCCAATTCCTGTGGTGTAAATACTCCCCTCGTAGCTGATTTCAAGCTTCCAAAGGTTTAATGATCCCCTAATGAAATGCCTGGATAGTTAACAATCAGTGCAGGTGGATACACGTGGTTCCTTCCTGCCCCTGGGTCAACACTTCAATTATTTACTCATCCAGAGTCCTGTGTTGTCTTCACGGAGTTCTGGTAGGTTCCTTAAGTAAAAGTGTCCTCACTTCTTCTTTTAAAAAGTTTTTTTAATGTTTGTTTATTTTTGAGAGAGGGAGAGACAGAGCGCAAGCAGGGGAGGGGCAGAGAGAGAGAGGGAGTTACGGAATCCGAAGCAGGCTCCAGGCTACGAGCTGTCAGCACAGAGCCCAACATAGGGCTCAAACTCATGAACCATGAGATCATGACCTGAGCTGAAGTCAGATGCTTAACCAACCGAGCCTCCCAGGTGCCCCCAAATGCCCTTACTTCTAAGTGAGACAACTGTGTGTGTCTACAAAGTCCTTCTGAAAATCAGATTCTCATTGTGCCTTTTAAGTTCTCTAGAAGTCAGTTACAGGTAGGCAACATACCTCCACACTATTGAGATTTATTTTTTTACATCTGGCTCTCAGTGTTTGTGACTAACTCTGGGATTCCAGGCTTCCTCCAGGCATTGGAATTAAGATCAAAAGACAGGCTAGTGAGAAATTGTTAGGATGTGGTCAAAGATAATAAGTTAATTCACTATGTCTGCGCTTTGTAGATTAAACTATCATCAGAATATGTAATTAGAACCTGCTATAAACACGGGTTTAATCGGCGATGGAAATAGGGGGGAGGGGAAACGTGCAGGAATTATTTTCAGGACTTTTCGGCACTACCAGGGGCAAAACCACTGAAGTACAGAGTTGAGCGGCCATCTTCGGACGTTACTTAGTCTTGGCCAGAGGATTTGCCAGGCGTGGTCCAAGGTGTAGGGAAATCTCCATCCTTGGACTAGGGTAGGCAGTATTCCCACTGACTGCATAATTAACAAAGAACGATGGTCTCTCATCATTGCCATTCTCACCATGAGTAGCCACCTTATTAAAAGAGGAGTTGAGTGAGCTCAGGTTGGGTTTTTATTTCAAGGGTGTTTCTCCAACACGTGCTGGCATAGAGAGTGCCAGCCGTCGTAGTCTTTGGATGCAAACGAGATCTTACTGTTTCCACGGAAGTGGTGTGGTTCAACGGATGGACTGAAGTTTGTCCCGTCTTACTTTCCCTACCTGCATCTGCAACTGTGTTTTAAACAACACCAGCACCTTGCTGATAGCACCTGGGTAGCTGTATTTTTTTATAGCCAATCTGTCATTTGCCTGGGCTCCCTCTGAGTTGCCCCTGGTTGACTGCAGTCTGCTTTGCATCATCTTAAAGGTGTGGCTAATTAGTGCCTGTCTTCTGGAATCTTCTGCTCTCTGATTACACTCTCAATATTGTTTTTTAAGATTTAGAAGACAGGGGAAAGATGTAGGCATTGGCTCAAATACTCCCGGTCGTTATGGGAAACGTTTCTCACCTACTGTCCACTCCAGTGGTGACTAAACCATGCTGGAGAAGCCGAGCTACAGCCTCACCTTGCTGAGTAAAGAAGCAGTTTTTTCTCACGGTTAATGGTCTCCTGTCTTATTTCGTAGATCATAGAGAAGGGCAGCCATGTCATTGACTTTACTGCTTTTGTCCAGCCATGAGAAACATTCTCATCTGCTTCCCCAATCTCTTACTAGTACTAAATCCCCCAATGGACTACTGCCTTCCTTTCTTCAAAAAAACACTATATTTTGATAGTAGAAAATGCAGAGGGGTGGGTGTGGTGCTCTGACGCAGGGGAACAGTCCAAGCCTGATTTCTGCTTGCGAAGCGCGTAGTCCAGTTGAAAGGGACATGTAATCATTTGGGGAATCGAGTCTGCTCTGACTCTTGGCTCCCTGGACCTTTTCATCATCTGGATGCCAGATAAAATACAGATGTTCTGAGCTAGAAACACAGCACCAGACTATTTTCCTCTTGGCTCGCACTGCCTCTTAAATGCCTGAATGCCAGACAAACTCGTTTGCAGCGTTTTGGTCCAGCTATAATTCACGGAAGATATCCCAATCTGGATTGAATGATTTTCTTCCCGGCTACGTCTCTGAAATTGGCCTGTGTTCTCCAGAGCCTTTGGCTGCTGGGTTTGTGATAATCTCCGAGCTAATTTTCCTTTAAGTCACATATGTGACAGTGTTGTGGTGGACAGTAGCCATGGATGTCCCTCCTCTGAAACCCAGCAAGTGCCTTTCTCCTGTCCCACATCCATCCCTCACTCCAGCCCTTAGGAGACTCATCCTGAACGGACCCCCCCTTCGCCGCCGTGACTCCTGCACTGAAATGACCTTTTCAACAAATCCTTGCCTTGAAATTAAATGGAGAGCATCTCTTGTTTTCATGAGCGTCTCTGCATAGGCTGTGAGTCAGATTTTTCCCAGCAGGATGAGGGTTTTGTTTTTTAACCACCACAGACACCCAGAGGTCATTGAAGTTTGTGACTACCTTGCGAGGAAGCCCGTGACGGAGTCTCCAGGTGAGGAGTCTGGCTCCGGGGCCGCAGGTAGGAATGAACACACGCAGGCCTTTGCCATTGGGTCACAAGCTCCCACATCATTCCTTCTGCCCCCATCAAAGTCCCCACTTTGCCCATCTGCAACCGGAGGGGGGCTTTGAAAAGGCAAGCTAGAATGATGGTAAGTTCTAATTACCATCAGCCGGAAAGATCTGCCGACCCGGCTTTAGTACCAATATTTGAGAGCAGTTCTTCCTTGTCCACCTTGCCCACCCTTACCAGCCATTTTCCTTTGCCTTAATAAGGAGATACATCGCTCAGATCAAGCGACTCTGAGATCTTTGAGACAGTGGTCGCTGGGTGATTGCCCTACGTGACTCTGTTTACGAGCTCTGCCGTCTCCTCCACCAGGATAGAAACCCAGGGGCCCTACTACCTGTCAGCTGCCCTCTGGGTTTCCCTCCAGAACAGGTGCCCACTGACCACAGCCTCCTACCCTCTCCCGCCAGGAGCATCAGAGCCCAGGCTTGATGCCCATACCCAGCTTTTGTTGACTGCCCAGCCTGTACCTCTGGGATATCCCAAAAGCAAGGGTTAAAGAGGGAGGGAGGCAGAGAAGGCGGCCAGATGGCTGCTTTCTCTCTCTCTCTCCCGGGAGGCACATACCGTTCCAGAATTTGCCTTCCCCCTGGTTCAGGGCAGGACCCACGCACATCCCGTGCCGCAGCTGCACTCCTTCCCGGCACGTGCTGCACTGCTGGTGGCCGAAGCCGGTGCAGGTTTCACAGGCCTGGTGGCAGGGCTCACATTCTCCCATCTCCGGGTCGCCGTAGAAGCCGGGGCTACATTCGCTCACACACGTGCCACCTACGTGAGACCGCAGAGAGGGAGCGTGAAGGTAGATCCCTGGCCGGCTTGGCTCGGTGCTCTGTGCAAGGCCAAGTCCCAAACACGCCGTGGGGAGTCTCAGGAACATTGCTGTTGGGGTTTGTTTTTAAAGAAACCAAGATGGCACGTGCTTATTTCAACCAAGGAACGGGTCTTAACTCCAACATTGAAAGTCTGCTTTTGGGGCACCTGGGTGGCTCAGTCGGTTGGGCGTCCGACTTCAGCTCAGGTCATGATCTCACGGTTTGTGGGTTTGAGCCCCGCATCGGGCTCTGTGCTGACAGCTCAGAGCCTGGAGCCTGTTTTGGATTCTGTGTCTTCTTCTCTCTCTGACCCTCCCTTGCTCATGCTGTCTCTCTCTCTCTGTCTCTCAGAATTAAATTAAAAACATTAAAAAAAAAAAAAGTCTGCTTTTCCCCGAGAATTTAAATTGGCTATCAGCTCAAGGGGCTAAGAGCCTGGAATAGGGTCACCTGGGTGGCTTAGTCGGTTAAGCGTCCCACTTTCGCTTAGGTCATGATCTCGCGGTTTGTGGGTTCGGGCCCCGCGTTGGGCTCTGTGCTGACTGCCAGCTCAGAGCCTGGAGCCTGTTTCAGTCTGTGACTCCCTCTCTCTCTGACCCTCCCCTGCTCACGCTGTCTCTCTCTCTCTCTCCTAGAAATAAATAAAACATTTTTAAAAAAATTAAAAAAAAAAGAGCCTGGAATAAAGAACTTTCAATTCTCAGGGCCTTGAAGACAGTACAAATAAAATAAGTGTCCATATAGAACCACTGGAGATCAGGGTGGGCTCTCTGCCCCACTCTCTCTCCCGCAAACATTCACGAGCACTGGACCATTAGTTCTTCAACTAGAAGACTCATGGTATATTTCCTTCCTAACCATCCAGAATTGACCACAGGATCTTGTTTAATTAACTTTTACAGTGCTTAGGAATATATAGCATGGATTGAGTCTCAAGGAAAGAGTCATGGTTCTGAATATTCCAGATGATTCCTTTCAAGGCATTTATCTTTGTTGTTCCCACTCCCCATCCGCCGCCCTCCTCGTTTCCATCAGCTCGGGGGTGTTTGAAATCAATTAGTGAAATAGGAACTCTGCTTCAGGAATAGAAGCAGAAGGAAGTAGTCCTGGCTAATGTTTATTATTATTATTAGTTTTTACACTTATTTATTTTTGAGAGACAGCGTGAGACAGTTCAAGCGGAGGAGGGGCAGAGAGAGAAGGAGACATAGCATCGAAAGCAGGCTCTGGGCTCTGAGCAAGCGTTCAGCACAGAGCCCACTGTGGGGCTCGAACCCACAAACCGTGAGATCATGACCTGAGCTGAAGTCAGACATGTAACCAACTGAGCCACCTAGGTGCCCCCGTGTTCAAACCAAAGTAAAATCCATCATTGGACGAGAGGCACAGGCAGACTCTGAGACCAAACAAGCAGGTGCTCTTATTTTTGGGTGAGGCTCTGGAAGGTGTTCCTTTGGACTGTGCCATTTTCAGGCTTACCCAGGAGAAAGAAGCCCTCTTCACACCAGTAGCACTCGTGCTGGTCACAGTTGCTGCAGTTGGTATCGCACGGCTTACATTCGGATCCTTCACTGTGGGTCTTCTCGGGACAGGTTGTATAACAGCGGTGCTGAAACCTACCAGGAGGAGATGCAACATGAGCTGTGTTGATATACTTCTCTTACCCACCGTAATTTAATATCCTTACATAGGTACACACATCGTTTCTAACAGGGCTAGTTATTTGGGTTTCAAGGGCACAAACTTTCTCTTGGTCTGTGTGCTCACCAAACAGGTCATTGACCACCCTACTCTGGACCCTAAGGGCCCATCATGAAGGAAAAGGCTGCGGAGAAGGAAAGCGGCACCGATATTTATTTATGGGGTACTGACTGTGCATTTACTACACATTTATTTACTTATTTTTAACTTTTTAAAATGTTTATGTATTTTTGAGAGAAAGAGACAGAGTGCAAGTGGGGGAGGGACTGAGAAAGAGGGAAACACAGAATTTGAAGCAAGCTCCAGGCTCTGAGCTGTCAGCACAGAGCCCGACGCGGAGCTCGTGCTCATGAACTGTGAGAACATGACCTGACTGAGCCACCCAGGTGCCCTGTGTTTAGTACTCATTTAAACCTCCATGCAATTCCCATATGGTACCTGTTACTTGCTATAATTTCTAGATAAGGGGCCAGAGTCTCAAGGTTAAGTGCTCAAAGTCCCGCAGGTAGTTAAAGGCGGGCCTGGGATTTGAACAGAAAGACAGCTTGTGTGGTTTTGAGACATGTTGAGACATACCATGTTAGATTTGTGGATCTGAACTGAAGAACTGTGGGAGTGACTGTTATCTGTGTTTCATTTAGCCTGGTGGCCTGTGTCTCTTGTTACTCAGAGGATGACTGGCTTCATTCTGGACTTTCTGACTTCTGTCAAGGACAAGGTCTTCAGGCAGACATTTGGAAACAGTTCAGTGTAGAGTTCAAGCAGCTTACCAAAATGTCTGCCACTAGGTGATTAATATTAAGAGTGAAGTATCTGAGCCTTTATGTATTTATATATTTTATGCATCTTACTCGTTTTCGTGCTACAGTAGAATATTGCATTTCAGATTCCATTGAATTACAGGGTCCTTTGAAGGAGGAGCAGAATCAAGTTGACCTTTGCCCACTGACGGATTTCACAGCATTGACAAGATATCAGAGGAAAGCTTTGCCTTTATTCATTAGCAACTTCAATTATGCAGTGTTTCGCTGCCTATATTCAGTTACTAACCAATCTGAAGGGCTATAAATGTGTGTTTCCTGAAACACCTCACGTTTTACTCTCAGTGATGCAAGGCACGTGCTTGCGGTGTATTTGTTTCTCCAAGGACTTTGCAAGGCCTTCTCATCGGGGGCCAGCAGTGCGCTACCCCTCGAGGTTGAACAGGACGCTGTCAGGTGACAGGAGGTCAGGGGGTGTGCTCCAGTGTCAACGCAAGGGAGGGTGCAGTTGGGCCAGAGGGATATAGAGAAGAGGAACAGAGAAGAACAAAGTGGGAACGCCTACTTCCGTGTGGCTACTACTGAGAGTCTAAGGTTTCCTTCCTTGGTTCTTCAAGGAACATTCTGTGCTCCCAACCATGTAGCCTCACCAAGGAGTGCTTGTATTTCCGCTGTTCTTCTGCCGGAGGCGTGGGCTGTGTGCCAGGTGAAGGCCAACTATGAATATGCTGACAGATTGCTTTCTGCTCATTCACTGTCACCAGCTTAGGTAATCACAGGGCGGACTGATTATTTTTGTGCTCTTTCAACTTGTTGGGTGCCCTGTCCCTCTCAAGCTCCTCACCCCTTTCCACATCTTCTCACCCACTCCCACACCTTGGGCATCTCGAATGTGATGGACGTGAAAGGTGGCGTGGTGATGGTAGGCACCAGCCCACTAAAGTCGAGGCAACCCAAACCCCGGGCCCCCCGCTGGCTTGTGGTGCCACATCCCATGGTCTCTTGGAGATTCCGTTTTCTTTTCTGGAGAGTAACATCGATCCCGTGTCCCTGGCAATGTTCATGGAAAGGCAAAGGGAAGAACTGGGTGTGAGTTGATCCCAAAACTCCCCAGTTCTTAGCATGACAGGAAGGAACTAGGCAGCTTATACATCATCCAGGCCTTCTTTTTCTTCTTCTCTGCTTTCTTAGCTTTTCTTCTGAGATAGGCCCCCACGGACCCGAGGAGGCAGACTGGAATAGGAATGGAAGATGACATTGGGACATGCCATCTCTGATTTGTAGATTTGAATTGGAGAACTTTGGGAGTGATTGTTATCTGTATTTCATTTAATCTGGTGGGCTGTGTCTCTCCTTACCCAGGGAATGACTAAGGGCTGCTAATGTACCCAGCTTCCTCCTGGCCTTTCTGACTCCCGTTAAGCACAAGGTCTCCATGTAGACATTTGGAAATAGCTTGCTTGGGGGTCAGGTATCATTAAGATTTGTCCATGAACAGCAAGGTCTGAATCCTGGTAACCCATGGCAAGATTCCTAGACACCAGTGTCAGGTTGGATGACTTTCAGGACCAGGAAAAAGAGGGCCTCCTTTTGAGTCAATAAAACAGCTGGGCTCTTATTGCTAAATCCAAGAATTGTTCCTTAATAGCCTGACAGGGCAGAGTTGCTTCAGGCTGCAGGGCTCGTTGCTTTAATCACTGGATTTAGGATTAGGTCAGTAATGCTTAAACTGCAGAAAAGTTAGTGCCATGAAAAAGAAAAAAAAGCCAGACTTACATGTAATACCCTGGAGTGCATGATGAACAGGTTCCTGGATCACCTGGAAGAAAATTAGAATAATGAAACATAATAATTATCAAGCGTCCACATTTGGAAAACTGGGCTCTGGAAAAGTTGTGGCTTGAGATAATCTTTTGGGGTAGTTTCATGAAGCGTACTGTCCAGAAATGGTATTTGAACAGATTATACTGTTTTTTTTTTAATTAAATTAAATTTTATTTTATTTTACTTATTCTTGAGAGAGAGAGCGAGAGAGCAAGTGCTAGGATGGGAGGGCAGAGAGAGAGATACACAGGGAATCCGAAGCAGGCTCCAGGTTCTGAACTGTCAGCACAGAGCCTGACGTGGGGCTTGAACTCGTCAACTGCAAGACCATGACCTGAGCTGAAGTCAGACGCTTAACTGACTGAGCCACCCACGTGCCTCCAGATTACACCATTTTTAATTAGTAACAAGGTGTATTCAATGACGTATCTTTGTCAAAGCTAGCTCTGATTTGTAAGGAAGTATAGTCCGAGGCTACTAGGTTTTCAAATTGCAGATTAAGAACTGTCTACATAAACTGCAGATTAAGAACCGTCTACATCACACAGCTCCTGGTCTCCACTGAAGGGAAGGCCTCAAGCATGTCCACACGCATGTTTGGAAGGGGCCACGAGCTCCCTTCTCTGAACGGTAGGTTTTCCATGAGTTGCCTTCAAATGCCTGCCATTGTGAGGGAGCATCATCTGGGAGACTCCTTTGAAATCTGGACAATTATTTGTTTCCAATACAGTGTCCACTTTGTGTTCCACACTTCACGGCCCTCTTGAAAAGACTGTCCTGTTCTCATTAAGCACAATGATTCAATGTGTTCCTGTTGGCTCAGAGGAGGGACTCTCTCCTACAGCTTCAGGGCACTTAATGAGAGAGAAAGGACTTCGAGAATCACTAATTCAGTCTGTTTACCTTCCTCTTGACCCTCCCTGAGAGATGCCAATTCCCAGATCCAATTATTAAGGGAATTCTATGATTTCCCCTGTCCTGCGATTCCTGTGATGAATGAAGCTATCTCCAGCGGGTTTCTGGAATACTCTAGTTCTGCTCGCTCTTTCCTTCCTTCCTTCCTTCCTTCCTTCCTTCCTTCCTTCCTTCCTACTTTCTTTCTTTCTTTAAATATTTTTATTTATTTTTAGGAGAGAGAGAGACAGCGTGAGCAGGGGAGGGTCAGAGAGANAGGAGAGAGAGAGACAGCGTGAGCAGGGGAGGGTCAGAGAGAGAGGGAGACACAGACTCTGAAACAGGCTCCAGGCTCTGAGCTAGCTGTCAGCACAGAGCCCGACGCGGGGCTCGAACCCTCGAACTGTGAGATCATGACCTAAGCGAAAGTCAGATGCTCAACCGACTAAGCCACCCAGGCGCCCCCAGTTCTGCTCTTTCTTATTCTAATTGGAGGTAGAGAACAATTGCCCTTTACAGAAGATTCTTTCTGGTACCTGAAGATCATATGCCACCTTTAATTTGATTTTAAACAAAACCACGTCCTTTGAACTTTGTTCACAGCTTTCCTTTCTAATGCACTCTAGGCTCTACTTTGGTTTTCACCAAGCCTGCCTCTTGGTGGCAGAGCTTCGCTCGAATCTATAGCCAAGTGTTCCCCTTGGGTCCTCCTAGGGGAGATTCGAGATGGCACTACCACGTATTACACATTCTATGTCTAATGCATCGCACCAAAGGTTATTGTGGAAAACTTTCTTTTTTTTAAAATTTTATTTATTTACTTTGAGAGAGAGAGAGAGAAAGTGAGTGAGTGAGCATGGGAGGGACAGAGAGGGAGACAGAGTAGGAGAGAGAGAAAATCCCAAGCAGGCTCCGCACTGTCAGTGCAGAGCTGATGTATGGCTCGAACTCATGAACCGTGAGATCATGATCTGAGCTGAAACCAAGAGTTGGACGCCCAGCTGACTGAGCCCCAGGTGTGCCTGTTGGGGAAAACTTTCTGTAAGAGGCTCTGCCCTTTAACGGGGGATTGCCAGAACCTTGTGGACATAGCCTAGTGATGGTGCAGTGGAGAGGGTAGCGGCCTGGGAACTGGACTATCTGTTTCTAGTTTGAAGTTTGAACCCTGGCTTACCTGCCTTGTGAACTTGCATAAATGTTGCTCACTCTCCTTTCTGGGTTCTGATTTCTGCAGGCATAAAATGATCTGGCTAGGTATGATGGTAGCCGAGACTCTCCAAAAGTCGACAATTCTGATGCTGAGTCTAGTAGGGGGTGACAATCTATGGCCCACTCTGGGGCCAAATTGAGCCATGTCCCTTCCATAGGAAGGATTGAACAAGAGTCAAGACAGCCAAAGACATAGCCAGACCATCCTGCAGGAGGCTCTATGGTTTTTTTCTCTCCATTATACGGTGACATGGTCTGTTATAGGGCAATCAGGTCAGGGCAGTGACATGAACTATAAACCAGGCTGATTAAGGAACATAAGGAATCTGAAGCTAGAGGTGCCATGACAAAGCAAAGCCCACGGAAATTCTTAGAACTCTTGCCAGTGGGGAGGGGTCTTTAGTCTTCTGCGATCCATTGTTTGGAGGATCTGAACCCATTTTAAGGGGGTGCGAAGTCCCGGGTGAACACTGGCGGTTCTACTGGGTAAGTTTGTTGCCCACTACAAACTTCTGTCTGTATCCGCATTCTTTTCAGTTCTGTTCCTAAATACACTGCTACTTCTCAGCTCACAGCTGGGCAAGCTTACTTTTTCCTGCCTGTCCCCGATGAACATATTTGACTCTGACAGTTTTGCTAATTTGGCAAGGGCTGGGGAAATTCTAATCCTGTTCTCTAATGTTCTGGCCATCCTTCTCATCTACGAATTTAATGAGTTTGCTCTCTGCTCCTTTAAGCAGGTCACTGTTGAAAATGTTAACCAGAACCAAGCCTCAGAAATGTGCATACCAATGTAATCTTGAGTCCAGGGACCTTTCCAGCCCAGATGCACAGTGAGTTTGGTACCTTTACAGTAGTTTGCATAAATGAATAATGCATAGAATAGGAAGTATGTCTTATAACAGCTTATGAATGCCCATTAGTCTTTCTCATTATTGCCAGTTATTCTGAAGAATAAGAATTATGAAAAAAAATTTTCCACCCCAGAAGATCCACAAGTCAGACATAAGCTAAATGGATTTAGCTTGACCACTGAGAGGCAGCTGCTGTGGGATTAAGGAAAGGTAACAATCCCAAACCTAGAAGTTGACTCTAAGTCAAGTTGGCATTTGGAAGGTGAGGAGGGTTGGCTTAAGGCAAAAGATGAATTTTCCTGGCTTCGTGCATTGTGTGTATGTGTGTGTATGGGGGTGGGGTGGGGCTGGAAAAGTCTAAACAGTCTAGAGTTGTGAACTGTCTTGGAAGGTGATATCCAAAGTAGGATGTTTACATAGCTCTGGTTACTCAGTGTTGTCAAACTTTTGAGCTGAGAGAACATAGTGTGGGTGGGATTGGGGCTAGTTCAGTCAGAATTCAGAGAGAGTCTCACACATTTGGACAAAAGCCTTCAGCAACAGTTACTAGCTTCCAGCTACTCCCATCCCCACTAAGGAGAATGTGTGAGCAGAAGCCTTGTCAGGCTGGGGATACAGCCTGCCTTTCTTGAGAAAACTCATTTTTATTGTCTCCTTTTGATGGGGTGGGTGGGCAGGACCACAGTGTCCCCTGTGTCTGGAGAGGTCTTCGTGATCCTCTGTGTCACCTTCCATGTTTTCCTTAGTTTCATCAGTGCTGGGTCTCATGGAAACTCAGTCCTCTCGTGGAGATGTTGACTGCTGTTGTCAATGTCTCCTTCCGTGGTCAATGTACATCTCTGCCATGTTGTTTTGCTCTCAGGAATACCTATAGCCCTCCACCATTGAATACGGATGGATCGGGGCCGTGTTAGTAGTTTTGGACACCGCTCTTATAAAATATATTGCAAAGAGATACTTTAAACTTGAAATGGAACTAATTTTAAAAGTGTGAAGAGAAAAGGAAAGTTTTCTGGTTTACATAAAATTTTGAGCCCTATAATTAAAAATACATATAAGCTGAAATGGCTTGAGTTTGCTTTTTCTAAATTAATTCTTCTTATACGGTTATTTTTCACGTGAAGGAGACAAAAGACACTTGGCTTTTAAAAGAACAGCCCTTCATCATCTAACATCTAGGTTTGCCACAATTAGCCATGGATCAGCTATGTTGTTGAGGCAGAATTGCCTCTCTGCGAAACTGTGAGGTTTTGCAATGAATGTTAGGATGGTATTTCTTTCAGGATTCATTTTCAGACTTGTAGGACTTTCATCTGTACCTAAATGTAGCTAGGCCTTCCTCTATCCCTGCCTATTGAAGCTGATCTCTTCTGTAGTCCTTTCCTGCGCAGACCTACTAGCTACTGCCTAGGACAATCGACTAATGGGTGTGTTACACTTATGCTCTTAGGTGGCTCCTAAGTGCTCCTCTCCCTCTGTCCCTCCATCTCTCCTAGACTCAGAAGACTCCTTTTGCTTTGACCTCCTTGGCCACCTCTGTAAATGTTCCATAAAGCAGCACCCACCTTATCGAAGTTCAGCATACCCTGGATGCTTGCTTTCCCCAGATGATTTCAGCCTTTTGGCTCAGTTACCTTTCTAGTTTCCCTCACCTATATTCCAGGCTCCACCAAACTTGAGGCTCTGTTCACCTCCCCAGTGCCCCCCACACTTAGGCAAAGTCATGCTTCACCCATTCTTCATAGGTTTCTAGTCCCAAATATTCTGTAAGCTCCCTAATTACAGAATCTGATGTAGCAATGTTCATACTGTTTTGATTGATCACCCCACTGGTTTGAAGAATTTAGCATGTGCCTGTAATGCGTGTATGTGTGTGTGTGTGTGTGTGTGTGAGAATTATTTATATGCGCTACTGCATGAATGTTTCACATCTTGAAAAAGATATGCTCAAGTAGAAAATTTAATAACAAAATGATTATAAATACACGTTCTATCTTTTGCTGTAGGCCAGTGGTTTGTCTCGCATACTTCTCTTTGG